AAGCCTTGAGTTCAAACCTGGGACTAGCATACACACAGATAAAAGATTATATTGTAACCGTATTTATAATGACACCATAATTAATAATTTATAAGCTTATGGATTTTAAAAAATAAATGAAACAATTGATGTAGGTTTGAATCATTTTATCCTCTTTTTTAGTTGAGTCTCTTCTTGACACGTAGTTGAACAGCACATGTTCAGTGTTAGCTAGCTAGCCTCAACATTCCCATCCATCATCTGTAAGCTATAGACTTAGAACTCAGACTTAGTTCTCTTTTCTGTAAAGAGAAGACAACAACACCTTTTTGTAATGTTAACCTGTAGGTTCCATATGAAATTATATAATTAGCTATTTTTCCAGGCTACAAGTTAAATACTGATATGTATCTTTTTCAATGTCTAATCTTTAATTACAAAATAAATGCAAGTCTGAAATCTCAAGTAAAAATTCCTTCACAAGCTGGGAGTGGAGGTCTATACCTGTAATCCTTGCCTTTGGGAAGTTGAAGCAGGAAGATAAAGAATTCAAGGCCATGAGAGTTGTTTGGAGGTTCTAGCAGGGGAGTGCAGCTTCTATGTCTAGGATAATCTTATCAGATGAACAGAAAAGCTCAAAAGCTATGTACATATGACCATATAAGATGATGCTAAGTGAAATGAATCCCAAGATATGGACATAAGAGTTTTTTCTTTGTTGTTGTTTTTTTAATGTACTATGCGATTTTCTTTTGTTTCTTTTGTATGTTTCCCCCCTATGGTACATCCCCTGTTGTTGTATTTGATTTTGGTGCCCTGCATCTTGTATATACATTTATGTAATTTGGGGAGGAGAAGGGGAATAACAAAATGCTGAAATAAGGACACAGAATGACCCAATCATTCCCACAATCATACCCACAAGACACTATGTTGAAAATGAACTTTACAACTTTGGGAGGGGAGAGGAGGAGTGGGGGAAGTGGGAAAGGGAAGGGATAGTAGGAGAAAAACAAAGGAGGGGGTAACAATGCTCAACAAGTAATATACTCATTACCTTACTCATATAACTGTAACCCCTCTGTACTGCATCTTTACAATGAATTTTAAAAAAAAGAATTCAAGGCTAACTTAGATTACACAGTAAATTCAAAGCCAATCTGAGTTGTAGCAAGAATTTATCTTAAAAATTCTAAGGGCTGGGGAGGTATTTCAGTGGTGGAACATTTGTCCTCATGCAGCAGATTCTGCGTTCAATGCCTAGCACCACCCTTTCCCCATGGGACTTTGTCACTGTCTGTCCCAAGTGTTGCTATGTTTAATGTTCATGGTGGCTTCTGTCTCCGATTCTTTCAAATCCTAGCTGTATCATTTAATAGGTATGTGACTTTGAGAAAATTAACCTTTCTGCACCTAGATTTGAAAATTATAGTAACTTTACCTCCCTTACAAGGTTGCTATTCAGGATAAGGTGAAAATAATACATATAAGATGCTCTGTATGGTACCTAACATTCAAAAGGTTAATTTTTACTATCACCATGGTACTATAAGGTCAGAACTTTCACATAGGTAGTGATGCTATGATCTTAAGAGCTTTTCCTCTTTCTGAAATATACTAAGTGAGGCATTCCTTTCAGTAAGTAGTAACTTTACTCAAACTCAAAAAATTTGAGTGACAACAAAAGTGATCTACTTATTTGGGAGTATTGCTGATTATGGACTGAATCCAGCTTTCAATAGTTCTGTTTATGATTTGTGTGACTTTTACAAGATGTGCAAGTTAGATATATTCAGTAGAAACTGTGCTTTATAGAAACTTTCTACTCTCAGTAGAACTTGTACTTTGAATTTTAGATTCTGATCATTACTGCCCAGTGGGCAGTAATATGCTACAGTTTTAGCCTTTTGTGAATATAGATATTTAATGAATTATATGCACCATTGAATACTTTATTATTAAACAAGTTTTATGTTAGATGATTTTAATCAATGATTCACTTTAATGTGTTTTGGGCATAGTTAAAGTAGGCTAGACTAACCTATTGATGTTTAGTAACGTAAGTGTATTGGAAACATTGTTTTTGTTTATGATATTTTCAAGTATGATGAATTTAGCAAGAGATGGTCTGATCTTAAGTTGAAGAGCTGGTATCTGGTCACTGGAGTCATCTCTAAAGAATGATATGAGAGAAGGGCTGTTTCTGTCCCATTGTTTCAGGGAATGAGACTGAGTTTTAGTAGAATTTGAGCATGAACTCATTTTACTTTTCCATCTCCATTCAAATTCAAATCAGGAAATCCTAAGTTATGAAGACAAACAGGAACTACAGCTTGCCTTTCTGAGAAATCTAATTAGTACCCATATAGGAGAGAGAGAAGAATCTGATGTTATTCATTAGGATTTAGCAACAATAGACAGGAGTGGCTCAGGATGAGGCACCCGCTCTTCCTGTAATTTCTCTAAAACAAACTTGATGGGGAAGGGGTGGATGGTGGAGGAAAGAATACCTGTCTCATTTAAACAGGTATAAAATAATACAAAGCTCTTCTTTTGAGAGTCCTTATTGATCTTCCTTTCCTGTGAAATTCTCTATATTATTGCCCTCAAGATCCAGTTTAATCCATAATTATATCATGCCATGTTGTCCAACTTCACATGTATTACTCATATCTCTTCAAAGAAATGGGTAACAATTTGAGAAGACAGATCATATTTCCTTTTCTGTAAGATCCAGGTGCCAAGAAATACAAGTGAGCTCAAAAACCATGGCATATACATTGAGGAAAGCTTTGATTGGTTAACTGGTTTTATTTGAAAGCTGCCTCATTATATAGTGTCTAGAAATTTAGTTCTTACTTAATAGCACTTTTCAGAAGTGTTCTTCAGATGCTTTGGAGACAGCATAAAGGTCTATGAATGTAATATCAGAAAATATGGTAAAATACTTTATGACTTAGGAAGGAATAAGTTTCCTCCAAAGTAGTTATAAAGCAAAGAAAACTGATGAATCTGATTACTTCCAAGTTATGGACCTCTGTTTCAGTAGTCAATATTAACAAAACACAGAATATATAAGTAGAATATCTACAATTAATATATTATTAGTATCTAGGAAAATGTAAGAAACTCCTGCAAAGATATATGAATAAACAAAAAACGGAGGCAAAAATCATGTACAAGTACTTTACAGAAATGAAAACCCAATAAGCTAATATGTATAGGGATGATGTACAAATTCATTATTACTTGAAAAATGCAAATTAAATCATAAATAAGATACTATTTTATGCTTATTAGGCTGTCAAATGATACCAGGAAAGAAAAATCACATAATTCTAGATGCTGTGAAATGAGTTTTATGTAATCCTCAAATCCATATCTTGACATCCTAACCCACAGTGATGGCCTAAGGAAAGGATTGGGAAGCCATAATTTGTCCATGAAGATAGGCCATCTTGAAAGAGAAAAAGGTTTTCTTGCATTTTACTACATATGAGAACCCAAGAAATGGTTTTGTAGGAATCAAAAAGCAAGCCCTCACCTGACACCAAACCTACTGGTTAGTTGAACTTAGACTCCTAAAGCTTTCCATTTGGAATACATGTTGGCTGTTTAATTCATCCAATGTATAGTACTTTTGTTATAGCAGTTAGAACCAATGAACACTTACATACCATCGATGGACATGCACCTTGATTCAGCCACCATGACGTGCTGTCCTTGTACCAATTAGTTAAATGAAATACTTGCAAAAGGCATAGTAATTTTATTCCCAGAAATGTTTGCATGACCCAAAGGGAATACATAGGAATCTGTTTATGGCAGTAGTTCTTGGGGTTATAGGCAAGTACTCAGGGAACACATGGCAGCCATAAAGTATGAATTGTCATATAGTAACTAATAGCAATTAATTAGATGTACATTCAGCAACATGAAAAGTTGAGACAAAATTTACTTCTAATACAAAAGATAAGTTTGAAACTTGGGCACATAAAACAAAAATGCAATTTTACACTAGTGAATACAAACAAATCACTCATGAATCACAGAAAGCAGTTAGTATGGGCTTGTGGGAATAAAGGATATTAAGCAAGTGATGATGATTGACAACCAGAAAGGGGCTTTGCATATTACACTGATGAGAATGTGTCATTATTTCACTCAGTCTTTGTCCCTGAGAGGCCTGTCGGCATTTTTACTGGTTAATTAGAGATGGAGATTTGAAGACTTTTCTGCCAGGGTTGCTTTCAAATCACCTTCTTCCAGGTCTTGGCTTCCTGGGTAGCTAGGATTGTAGACGTGAGCCACTAGCTTCCATCTAGGCCTGCATATTTTTGTCTTTAATAATACATTGGTGAAGTAAATTGAATATATTTTGTTGTCCTTATTTTTCTCATCCTTTTATAAAATATTCTAAAGCCCAGCATTGGTGGCATGCCTTTTAATCCTAGCTACTTAGGAGGCTGAGATGTGAGGATCATGGTTCTTAGACGACCCACCAATTAACTACCAAAAAAGCTGGAAGTGGGGTGTGGCTCAAGTATATGTAGAGTGCTAGCCTTGAGAAGAAAAGCTTAGGGAGTCAGTGCTCAGCCCCTGAGTTCAAGTTCCAGGACTGGCACACACAAAAAAATACTCTAAATCTTAAAGTGAGGTCTTAAAAAAAGGGTACAGAATTATAAATAACTAGCTCTGATACAGTTATACTTTTATTAGGAAAGTATTGTGGTGAAGTTGGGAAAACAATTGTCTCAGTATTATCTTTAAATGAAGTGGTTGAGTAGGGACAATGGTTTCTCAGAATTATCCACATGTTGGATAGGAGAATTTCTTTACTCCTCTCTCAACCTTCTCATTCATCAGATACTGATGGATGAGATATGGGTGGACCAGGAAATCTGCCAGCTGATTCTGACGGAGATGGTCTGAAACTCTTATATTTCAAAATAAAGGAAACTATCTACAAAATTCTCACCATGTATGTTATTTTACAAAAACAAGAGTTTTTATCAACTTACCAAATGTTTATTCATCTCTTGCAATTCCTTAAGTTGATATGAGCTCTTTTTCTCAGTATGACTATTATCTTGGGGATGTGAAACTTCAACGATGCCATGGTAGTATTCCATTCTCTGACCTGCAAAGAAAATAGAAAGTAGGAAATTAAGTAATTCAGGAAAATTTTAGGACAAAGATTTAATTCTAATATAGCTATTATGAAGTCTTAAATACGTTTCTGAGCTTTGAAATTGAGTTTCATAAGTACTAGTTTGCTGTTAGATGTTAAAAAGAAATAGTAGCTGGCATTTGTTAAATGTGCACTGTGTTTCCAGTACCGTTCTATGTGGTTAACATGTATTATCTGATCACATTCACTTTCTAGGATGAACATCCACTTTATTTTACAGAGGAGGAAAATAAGACACAGTGTCATAAGTAATTAGCTTTGTGTTATATAACTGTACAATTAGTAGGTGACTTATCCAAAGTTTGTGTTCTACAATCTGGCTCTAGAGCTTAAATATTCATTATGACATTGCTCCTTACTGAACTGGCATATAAGCCACATATATTCTACTGATTGATAATAGAGGTAAATGGGTATTTTTATGAATTTTTACTTGCAGTGAGATACTTAGAAACAGACAAACAGCTATAGGAAGGCGAGGGGAAACACTATCTGAGACTGTAGGTAAGAAAAGTATGTAATGGGAATAAGTCAATCAGATCTTTGCAATAAAAAGTAATGGGTCTCCTGACAATGGACCGAGAAAGGAAAGACTGAAGGGTAATGACTCTAAACAGACTATCTCTGAACCCATGGATTTTTACTTATTAACTATAGTCCATACTGGTATCAAACTTTGTTTTCATAGTTAAGAGGATTTTGTGCAATCAAATGAATCAACTCGAGAATCATTTGCCATTGGCATAAACTACAATTGGGGTTTTCATATGAAGACTGGATTATGGCCTTAAATCGTCTTAGTTTCCTATTAAAGGCATTATTCCCTCATCAAGTCTGAGAAAGGTGACAACAAATATAACCACGATTGAACTCATCATTTTAACCACCCACAGCAGGTGAGAATGACAAAAAGATTCATCAAAAAGAAAGTGATTTATACTTTGCATTGAGAGGAAAGAGAGAGTTGGAGGTGTAGTTCAGGTGGTAGAGCATTAGTCAATGAGCAAAAATATCAGGTACTGTGTTCAAGTCCTGACCAAAAAATGTAATAAGAGAGAGGAGAGTTCAAAAATGCATTGTTTATGCTATTTTAAATATATTAGGCAAAAAATATAATTCTTGAATACTATTTGGGAAAGAGGGCACTTTTCTCTAAAAAGTGATGTTTTCTTGGTTTAGCTATCATTATTTTGTTTTATATGTGTTTTTATTTGTCCTAGAAAAGCTGATGGGCAGAAAATGATGGTCAGGAGTAAAAGAAACAAAGGGAAATTACATTTAAAAATAAGTGGGTTGGGGCTGGGAAGATGGCTCAGTGGTAGAGCACTTGCCTTGCATGCCTGAGGCCCTGGGTTCGATTCCTCAGCACCACATAAGCAAAAAGAAAAAAGCCGGAAGTGGTGCTGTGGCTCAAGTGGTAGAGCGCTAGCCTTGAGCTGCAGAGCTGAGGGACAGCGCCCAGGCCCAGAGTTCAGGGCCCACGACCGGACCCCCCAAAAAAAAAAATAAGTGGGTTAACACAGTTTGTTATTTAAATATATAATGAAAGATGAAAATTGTTTAGTATGTCTAAACAAACAATTAGCATGTCTAGTACAATGACTCTTTTAAAATATTTTATGTAGAATACTGGACTGCAAGTTCTGTGAAATCTGAAAACTTCCCTACTTTGCTTAATGATGTACCCTGGGAACCCAGAAAAGTATTTGCCTGTGATAAACATATTAACTATTTGCTAAGGAAATGATCAGATACATTTAAAAATATTCTAAACGTACCATTTACAGATGCAAGCATACATTTCCTTCACTTGTCTGCAAATAAAAGTGAAATTCTTGAGGGAAGGGGTGACACTGTTCACAAAGAAATGTCCTCATTACCAGACTTAGGTAACTATAACCCCTCTGAACATCACCTTTATAGTAACAAATTTTGAAAAGTGAAATTCTTGGTTTTACCTACCAGAGCCTAGGAAGGGAGCCAGAACAACAACAGTCAGGACCATCAGTATCAGTGCCAACACAATGAGAAGGACAACCAGCCATGGCTTCAGAGCTCTGCTCTTTGGGCCAAATCCTGACATTCTGCAACAAGATAAAGGCCCCGCATTACTCCCACAAGGTCAAGGAAACTAGTTCAGATTTCCTTGGATAAATTCAAGTCTCCTTAGATTATGCGAGTTTCCTTGGATAAATTCAATGCAAGACATTTGTCTTCCATTTTGGTTAAGATCACTCTGAGGGGAGAAACTGGGAGAAAATCAGGGAAGAGGTGACACTGTTCAGGTAGCCTAGTACTAGAGTGCTTGCCTTGCATGCATGAGTCCCTGAGTTCAATTCCCCAGCACCACATAAGCAGAAAAAGTTGGAAGTGGTGCTATGGCTTAAGTAGTAGAGAGCTAGCCTTGACCTGAAGAGCTAAGCGTTAGCACCTAGACCCAGAGTTCAAGCCCCATGACTGAAAAAAAAAAAAAGAAAAGAAAAGAAGAAAAGAAATATACTCATTATCTGACATATGTAACTGTAACCCCTCTGTACATAACCTTTACAATAAGATTAAAATATATTTTTTAAAAAAGATCATTGTGGCTTGAGAGAAAGTGTAAAAACAAAATCAGAATCTAGAAACTGTAATGTCATTCTTGGTTCCCATGTCTAAAGGCATTTTAAAGCTCCTCTTGTGTCTAGGCTTGAACACTCTTGTAATGGAGTCAAAGTAGCATATGTGCTAGAATAAATGACCATTCCTCCTTTTTCTGATGATTTGTTTTCCTTTTATCTAAACACTATTTTATTTATTTATGTATTTATGCATTTATGTATTTATTTATTGTTGGTTGTGGGGTCTGAACTCTGGGCTGTCCCTCAGCTCTTCAACTCAAGGCTAGCACTCTACCACTTAAGCCACAGTGCCACTTCTGGCTTTTTCTGCTTATATGGTGTTGAGGAATCAAACCCAGGGCCGCATGCATGCAAGGCAAGCATTCTACCACTGAGACACCTTCCCAGCCCCATTTATTGTGTTTTTAACTTTTTATTCTGTAAATTTTCAGACACATAGAGAAATTATAATGGTATAAATAAACATACACATGTTTGTCACAGAATTTTTAAAATCTATTTTGTTAAAATTATTGCTGTATTTAGTTTATGCAATAAGATATCTCATGAAATTTCATCAAATCATTATTACAATTAAGAGATTTCCAACATTATTAGTATTTCTAAACATGGAATTGTCTCCTATATCTTTCAGTATCCAATTAATCTTCAAATTTTCTTTATTATCCTCATTATATTTACCATTGCTTTATGCAAACATAAGTAAATGTTATATTAGACAGCTATTTTAGATAAACAAGGACAGACAGGACATGTATTATGTTTGGCTGACAGGTCCTTTATGCCTGTTTCAGTCTAAAACATTCCTTAAGTTTTAATGACACTGCCTTGTTGAAGAGTCAAGGGCTTTAGGATCTTCCCATATTCTGGATTTGCATGATTCATTCATTCTTTCTTCTTTATTTTTTAATTTTTTTATTAATAAGTTTTTTTATTGTGAAAATAACGTGCAGAGAGGTTACAATTACATGAGCAAGGTAATGAATACATTTCTTATCAAGCATTGTTGCCTCCTCCATTGTTTCCCCTTTCCATCCTTTCCCATTCCCCCCTCCCCTCCCCCTTCTCCCCCTCCCCTCCCCTCCCCCTTCCCCCCCTCCCCCCCCAGCCAAAGTTGTAAAGTTCGTTTTTGACATAACGACTTGTACATCTCATTGTTGCAATGGGTCCACGTGTATCCTTATTTAAATGATTTGTTTTGCCTTTCCCCTCCACAAATTATACCAACATCAAATACAATGAAAGCAGAGGTTATACTGTGGGGGAGGGACATACAAAGCAACAAAGTCATCTTATAAATATGTTAGAAACAATTGCATGAAAGAAAAACCACTTGAGTCCTTATCTTGGGGTTCATTTCACCTAACATCAACTTATCTGACCTTTTTTGCTTGTCTCAGACATATACTAGTTATTGCAAATAAGGGAAACCATGGGACCTATGTTTCTTTGGGCCTGGCTTATTAAGGAGGAAAATGGCAGAGAAACTGGAGGCTAAACAAGCTCTCGAGGGATTCAGAGGAAAATCTCTATTTTTGTAAGCTAGAATATAGCTCTAAAGCCTTTAATAGATTTTTTTTGGTTAAATGCATCTGGCAAGAATAGATCTAATGTGGTACTGTGTACTTTACATTGCATTTCATAAGGAATGGAGGACTTTTCCCACATTTTGTAGAAAAAGTGGCTGCTTTTCTTCTAGTGGCTTTTGATCAACAACTGTGTTCTTACATTGCATTATTTGTTTGAATCAGTGTTCACCTACATACAGGTAACTGGTACTCCTTAAAGGACTACACTAGTTTTTTTCATCTTTTATTAAAACAGAGCTCTAGTGCTCTGTCTCTGCAACTTGCAATGATACTGATTTTTTTTGTTTACTTTATGAGCTCAATCATTTCATATCTATATATAAATAAAATTCTTTGGGAATAAAAGATTTTCCTATTTCCTTCACAGGATGTATGACAATGCTTTGTGCTAAGTAAACTTTTAATAAATATTGGTTGATTTATAAGAAAATTTTCTTTTGAATGTAAGAAACCTTTACATATACAGGTTAAATAAAAAAATTAAAAAAATTGTTTCAGTATTTAGGAAAATGTTAGTTTGGGCCTAAGTACCACCATTTGTTCAATAGATACAGTGGAACTTTCTTAAGTTTAGTTAAATTTCTTAATTAAATATACTAATGATGTGAGCACTGCTTCATTAAAGAGGGACTCAGTGGTAGAAATGCAGCATGCACTTATTCAAGGACCAGAACACTGCTGTAACAACAAACACATGCTGCATGGAATGAGATAATAGTTCACCACTTAAGTGGCTGGAAACCTAAATATAGAAGTGAGAGAAATCCAAGAGTCTACTTAGCATAATTTAGTGGCTTTCTAAGGTTCAGAGAGAGTAAATAATTTCTCTGATACACTAGAACTTGTCTTCCCAAACACAGGTCTTCTAATCACTAGGATACTTCTAGTCTTCGTTAGACTGCCTGTTCATTAGTTGCATTTGAATTCTTGAATATATGCATCACTTATGTCCCTATTCACCCACTCATATATTCTCTACCTGTGGGTCCCTTCATTTGTGACTCCAGGTCATTAGAAATAAAAGAGGAGCCAAGAAAAAAAAAACTAGAACTCAAGAAACTTTATTAGCTTTCAAATCTATCTCCCCATGATAGTACAGTTCTTTTGACTAGAATGAATGGAGAATGTGGGTTATGGAAAAATCACACCTTCATCACCCAGTTGGATAACTCATATGGCTACTGGTTGAACCATGGAATCAGGAGCCGAAGAGTGGTTCAACCACCATTGAAAAATAGTTGCTACTTCAAATTCCATAGGAACTGTGAACATCTGGGTGAAATAGCAACTAATAAAGTGAAATGTTGTCATTTAGACTGTTTATTCTTTTGAGAAAATCTTTGAGATAAAAATCTATCATGTATAGCATAAAAATCAGAAAAGCAGCAACGTCCAGAGTTTAGAGCTGCAGCTACTTATGAGCAACCTTTCAATTTACTACCAGATTTCATGGCTATAAACAAGCAAGATATGTATACAAATATCCATCATTACCTTTCTATTCTGAAGAGGTTATGCTAGTCATTTTTGTATTGTCACTTCTGCTTTGAAAAAAAATACACTTCGGTGGAGATTTGGCGGCTACTCTAAGGATTATGGATCAAAGTCAACTGGGGCAGGAAAGTCTGTAAGACTCTTATCTCAAATTAATTATCAAAAAAACAGAAGTGGAGCTCTGGCTGTAGTGGTATAGCACTAGCCTTGAGCACACACACACACACACACACACACACACACACACACACATACATTAGAGTCTTTTTTAAAAACTTCTAGTCTGTAGCAGAGATGGGCCATTTTGTTCAGCCATTCTTTTTTGCTACTTTATTTTGTATCAAACAAACACAAATATACTCATCTTCTATTGCTGTGTAACTAATTATCACAATACTCAATCACTAGTCCATACTTTTGTATGTGCCATATTTGGGCCCTCTGCTTAAGATCTCACAGGGCTCTAACCAATTCAAAGAATTGGTTAAAGTTGCTTTTCTCATCTGAGATTTGAGAGTCTCTTCCAAGTTCACTCAAGAACTCACTTCCTTAGAGAACAGGGACTTCCCATTCTCTAGAGAGCAGAAGTCCCTGTTCTCTAGAATTCTTAGTCATAAATACCATCTCTTCCTTGCCAGTGGCCTCTCTGTCTTAAAGGACAGCAATAGAGAGTATCTTTCATTAAATCACTCCCTAACAAATTTCTGTGTAAAGACCCATCCTTCTAAGCCATCTACTGATTCATTTAGGCCCCAAATTTAACCTCCTCCTCTTGAAGAGGAGAGAGAGCTTAATTACACCTTCACAAGCATTTGACAACAGCACCTACATTAGCATCCTATTCAATAACTGAAGAAAGTGTATGTATCCCAGAGGGTGAGGATCTTGGGGACCACACACGTGCAAATGAACAAGATTTGTAACCTTAAAAGAAAGCATATGAGTTAAATTGTTAATTTTTGTTGGGGTGGTAGTTAGGAACTGTTCCATAAAAAGTCAATTCTATGCCAGTTATAGATTTTACTCAAGTAACAATTGCAAGAATTCAAAGTGAACTTGTGGAAATTTAAATAAGAAGAGAGCTAAAGGTAATCCTCAGTTATTAACTGATCGGTACTCTGTATGCTTCTAAAGAACAAGTAGGTGCAAATGATCCTTATTTTGAATAACATGACTACAATCTCCATAAGCTCCAATTTATCATATCCACTAAACTTTCATTAAACTTCATTATTTAGGTTGCAGAAGGGTGTATTCATGACATTATTTCTAAAATACTTTAAAAGGACATGGTGATAATGAGTGATTGTGTGACTTTGCTTTTTGCAGTCTTACTGGTTAGAAGCTACATACTTGAGGAAAATATAGAGTGGCAAACA